TTTCTTGGCATAATTCCACCCAATTCTTCATTATCTGTTTTTCCTACTTTAGCACAACAACCACATCCTTAAGGCGTTCTTGAAGAGGTGGAGCGATGGGCCATCAGTTGTCAATCTTAATTCACTTCACCGCTTAAAACAGGTACGAGCCCTTTCTTTTGTGTGTATTGTTTTTTTCCCGCACTGTGTTCCTCCTTCCAATTCATTTACCTTTGGGGCTATAGTGACATTTAATGTGACAGTGACATCTGCCATCTTACCCCACGACCCAACCTGAACTCTCAGGAAGAGTCCCTGCAGGAATACACAAGGGTCACTAGGACCTTACTAGCGAATGAAATAACATTACACAGTCCCTTCTGCCAGCTTCTGAATATACCCCACACTATGAGACGCTTGCAAATAATCAGTGACCACTGTCCTCTCTGAAGCCCCAAACTGAGCTTTATTCGACCACCATTGGCTGTGAGAAAGCCAGCGGAGGACCAGACAACTACCATCTCAGACTAACAAGGAGGAATGGAAGAGTATCCACAGGCTGTTTAGCACCGTCTGGCTGAATGAATTAATTAACGGAGCTCTCACACGGCAGTCATCCTCCCTCCAGCCAAAGGTGGATCAATGGCTAAAATACAACGGAGAGAGTATTTAACAACATAACCTCAAACCATAAACACATTTAGATATTTCATTCTATACATTTCCCCAGACTGCGAGCTGATTTTGTCTGATCTTTATAGAGATTAGAAGTGAACACTTCAGGTTTCATTGCCTGGCAGGTAGTAAAATGCCCTAGTACTACAGATGTCAGATGCTGAAAAATTAGCAAAGTACAAAATCCAGCTCAACTCATTTTTTTCCTCATTCTACTATTGATATAACAATAATTAATAGCATACTATATGTACATGTACTTACTGTATGTAAAAACATCTTAGCATTTTGCATTGTTCTATTCCTTTCAATGTTTTTTCTTTTTTATAACAGAAATAATTTTACAGTGATCTTTTTAACTGAAACTTCTGCTGTTTTATGTTACAAGTTAATTTTGATAGACCTGTGATTTGTAGTACAGTATGATATAGTTATATATGATATGAGGTATTTTAGCATTATGAACATGTACAGAAGAACAAAAAATGTTCATGACAAGAGTACAATGTGAATTAAAGATTGCTAAATGACAAGATTGGATTATTCTCACCCTAATTTACCTAATATAATAACCACTAGACGTTTATTAGTACTAGAAAACATTACTGTGTAAATCACTAAGGCTTTGCCTATCATTTGCCTAAATATCCCAAACACAAGTTATTTAGGATAACAGTAAAGTAATTACCTATTTAGTAGTGCATCTTCCAGTGTATTAAATATACTTCAGAATGTCAAGAATTATAATGTGCTAACAAAAAATACTCCCTATTAGTACAGACTGTAATTTCCAACCTTTGTAAATTAATCTGAGTCCCTGTGATAGAGTGGACATTAGGTTTCTGTTGCTCACCTAAGGTATTATCCACATTATCTTAAGGACTTATTGCATGAGTATACCTGAATTCTTCATCTGTTTTACCCTTGGTTTTACTGACAGTTTAATGTGTTTTCATTTTTCTTCTGTTTTCTTATGCTTCTGTATTACAGTATGTGTGGACTATTTTCTCTAAAGATTCTTGAAAAGGGGTCATAAATGTATTATACGAACATATATTTAGAACCCCAGATTCTAACATGGACATTTAACACATACTTTACAGTATATATTATATATATATATTATAAAACTCCAGCTATTACTTACAACTTTCATAAAAATATTACATATACTGTAGCTTACACAAGAATATATATATCTGTTGAATTGAATGTTTTATTGGAAGAAAATGTATTTTACATTGAAAATGTAGCAAAATAAATAAAAGAGACACCCTTCTTTATGAATAGAAAATGAATAAATATAATTTTATATTTAAGTATCAAATGAACTAAATTGAATCTGAAAATGTGATTCTTCCTTGAACTATAATATAAATTATAATCAAATACATACAGTATATTCCAAAGAGGTCTTATTTTCTTACAATTCTTCCTCCCTTTAGAGCTCATACCTTCTGAACTTGATTTTTTTGGTGAAATTCTAAACTGTAATAGTATTTAACAAGTGAGAACTTTTGTGTTTCAAGTTTAAAATATTGATTTACATTCTTAATGATTTATGCTGATAAAATTTTAATCACTTATCAAGTTCAGGGTCTTTTCTCGCTGCTTAATAATAACAAACCCAGCAATTCACACAACTAATTGGTACAGTACCTGTGAATTATTTATGCATGTGAAAACAGTGGTGTTTGTTCAGAATGTGTAGAGAGACTAAAAGTCAACACATATTATAGTTGGAAGATGTCTAAAAAAGAAGATAAGCACACAGAGTTAGATTTTTGGTTAATAACCAAATGCTGCCACACAGTGCTTTAAACTAAAACTGCAGCTCCAATATTTATTTCGTAACTAATGCAAATTTGTTTAATGCCTTTATATCCTTCATGCCACTTTAATGACCTCCAATATGGACTGTACTCTAAATGGTAGATTAAAATTAAATTCAAAACTTGCCAATAAAAGGAGGATTAAGAATATACCCAGGTACCTATTAAAATCTGTAAAAGTTAAAATGAGTTGTCAATGTACAATATTAAGTGAAATTCAATGAACTATAAAAAGTTTAAACTCAGGATGCTGTAGGCAAGCGTTTAATGGCACCTAATTTTAAAGGCATGAATATAGAACTGAAAAATCTAAAAATATTTTGACACTGGCAGAAGAAGACCTAAACAGTCCAAATCAAGGGGCTTTATAGGTAAAACCTAGCAAAAATGCGACCATTGTGAGGTTTTCAAGGAAAAATGATGTAAAGATCAAAATCCAAGTAATCTGTATTTTAAACACTTTTTATGATTTTGGAGATTATGTTTCTACAGACTTTAAAGGATACTGTAACTTTTGACCAAAAACTAGTTAGAAATCCTACTTACAGTACCTTCTCAAAGCCATCTCCATTGTGACAATAGTATATATATTTAACTTGAAAACATAAGACAACATTCAGAAGTTATAGGTTTTCATGTGATAACATCCATACATGTTGATATTCTCCAAGACTAAGACTGTGAGAATTAACTAAGTGAGATACAGTAAGCAACTTAATAAATATCGTATAAAAATGAGAATATATGTTCTGGTAATGACTTCTGAAAAATACATTAGTTCAAATAAGAACTACAGTAAATAATAGAAGGACATTATACTGTATACATAGAATTAATGGCTTAACCTTCATTAGAAAAGGATTGTTAATAACTGTAATTTTAATGCACACTACTGTGTAAAGCATAGACACAATTGTCCAGGTCTCAGATTATCTCTAGGACAGTAAATGTGAAACATTTGCATCTGAATTGCCTAATTTACCTGCACAAACAACCCACTCCAAATGATCATTGTCTTTTTATTCCAATTACTTTTTAAAATGTAAAATATTTTCACTATGCAAGAGGTAGTCAGTTTGGTATCCAAAATTATTTAAAGGGTTGCTCAGAATGTTTTTTTTCCTGCAATGCTGAGAAGAATGTCTGACTTTGGCAGATGGAGTTAGGTTTTATATTGTTAATAATTATTTAAATTGTAAAGGCCCCTCAAATTTGGTTGGGCATAATCACAATTCTTAAATTTGAATTACGTTATTGTTGCACCGAGTATTATAATTCTCTAACGCGAAACAAATAAAATGCCCTTGAAATACCGTGCTGATGTCTGAGAGAGAAGAGAGAGTCAGAGAGAAGTGATTACTCTGTAAATGACACTCGTACTTCCAAAGAAGACATTAGGAGCAGGCTAGTGAAGAGTAGGACAACGCATTCCACACAGTAGCTTAGGAATCCTGCCTCCCTTACTTTTCTGCTTACTCAGCTGAAAATGTAGTAATGCTTACAGTAAGCTGAACCCAAATACATCTAGAATATCATTTGAAGTGTTCTTGACCTGTATTTCATGGGTTTAAGAAACTTCCTGACGCAAACCCGTATTTGATTAACCGATGAAATGAGACTTCTTAAAATTGCAAAGCAAGCATTGGATTGCCTTGAAAGAACTAAACACAGAAGATTATTATAATTTAATTGTTTAATGCAATCAAAAAGGTTTCCGGTTTTTGGCATTTTTTTTTTTACAAGCTTAGTGGTTTTGCTGAGATACTTTTGGAATGCCTTTAATTTGCTGAATTTTGAGATAAAATCTTTTGAGAACAGCTTGACTAGCTGCGGAGTGGCTGCATCAAGCACATACACAGTATACAGTAAGAGAGAAACAAATGTGACACCATTTACCTGTTAGACATTCATATTCAGTGAGCACAATTTTCATTATTCAAGTTAATTCAAAAATAAAAATGATTATTTCCTCTTATTTAACTCCAAAGGGTGAACTAAGAATCAACAATTCCTTTTGCAGAGCTATTAAATATACAGTACAGTCTTGATTTACTGTCTCATCCTGCTGCATTGTGAAGGGAAAATGCATTAGAATTCTGCATTGAGAATTAACAGACAATAAACCTAATTCAAATTCCTCTTGGAAGTTCTTCCAACTCTCACACATTTGAGAGAAGTGACCCCCATTTATGGTTGTAAACAGTGGATCAAATGGACTAAAAGCATCTAAACTGTTACCAGAATGAACCTGAGACAAAATAAACATATTTTAAGGAAATAATCATTTCTGTGATCTTATGAGTTGTAGAAAAAAACAAAAGAACATAGATATAACAATGCTTTAAAGTCGTGATTTTGGAGTCACCATAGTTTATTAATGTATCAGTTTTTCTTTTGCCTGTCTTTACATGCTATTTTAAAAAGGAAAGTATATAATGTACCTGGTACAGTGCATTACCTTTCTGTAAATAGTGACAATAAGTTAATTTTTTGTAAAGGAGAAAGAAACATTGATTGATGGAAAAAATAGTTTATTGGATATTCTCTCTTTTTATTTCAAGTTTACTTCACATAATACTAATATCAGTATAATAATAGCCTCTAAAGAAAACTGGAATAATGAAATGCCTAATACAAGTGGCTATGCAGCAGATTCCTAAGTATTTTGGTACACACAGGATGAAAAGTACTTAAGAATATTATAACACAATATTGCTAATTTTCTTACTTCAAAAAGTAAACATTTTCATTAGAATTATTTTTTTTTCTGGGAATTCTTCACAATCCTGTAAACATTTCATGTGCAGCGGTAAAAACATGCTGCTAGAAAATGGTCACTATAGCTGAAGTGATAAAATATTTCAATCTGGGCCACTTGTGATCTTGACCAATCAACATGGATGGATTAATATCTAGAAGAAAACAACACGCCTAAAAACTGTACTGACTTTGAAATAACAGAAGGCAGTAAACATGATAATGATGGATGCAGACAGAAATAAAAATGTGAGTAAAAAGCTTTTATGAAGACATTAAATTATATATACATTTCACATACTAGATGGTCATTTACATACACTTTAGACTATTTAGGTCCATATAAAAATTAAGCAAAAGCATAACTGACCACACATACAAGAATGAAAAATGCAAGCATTTAACATCTTAACGTATTTCAACAGTCCTTATAGTCAATATTAATAGTTAGCATTAGAAATAATTGTTGCCAGTGTTCCAACTACAGTGCAATTAATATTGTCATCTAGAAAGATTTAAAAGCAACCCTTTCGATGAATGTAAAACATCTTATAAACCTGTGTGACTGCTCAATTCTGAATACACACAAATTACTAAACCGAACCCACACAGTGGAAATTGACATTGATTTATACAAAATACATTGCAGTCCTTGATATTTAATGTTTTTAATGCACTGGTCTTTGTTAACTAAAACATATAACCATCCTGATTTTTTTTTTAAAAAGTGCATTTCACTTTCAAGATTTTTTTAGAAGTGCAAGTCAGTTAATTTCTTTTAAAAGACTAGGTTTTAAAAGATTTGGTTTTCCTTTATTTGGGTTGGCCTGTCCTGAAGTATTATTTTTTTACACTATCCAGAATCAGATTAGGCAGTATGATTCAACAAAACCCACAAACCAACCTATTCAAAAGTAACTTGCTTCCAAAAAAATGGTTTCAATTTAGTTTTATTCATTTGAAATCCTCTCAATTTACTTGCTGACATTACTCAATAGCATCAAGTGTTGCACAAGGCATTAGTTGAATATTGGTCAAGGCCTACAAAGCACACAATTGTAACATTAACAATAATTCAGGGAAAATAAAGATATTACACTCACTTTGATGTGCATTACTATTCCAAGCTTTTTCATTTTGAAAGAATAACAAATGAATAAAAATAACACATTATCCAAAACCAGAAAAAGAAAGTATTTGGTTTGGTTTTTAATTAATTTAAGTTATCTTTTTCACTACATTCTTCATCATGATCATACACAGTAATGGTAGTTAATTTGGATTCATGATCACCTTCCATTTTTCCATTTTGTTCCAAATTCTGGTATCATTTATACTGAAAACAATTACTTGTAGAAAATACCTGAATACAAAGAAAAGGAACACAAAATAATAAGCCAAGCCTTACTTTCACAATTAGTCCTGGAGCTCTATTATACTCAATATTTACTGAAGTGTGTGCAAAATATTGAAATATCCAAATTTAACAGTTCTGCAAAGCAAGGAGACATAAGTTACATTGTTCAAACTAAGACACCTTCCCATTAAATTAATCAATTAACGCTTTAAATCTGGTGAGCCTCTGAAGAAAAGAGTTTGCCTTAACTACACTTATCTGGGCCATGAAGTGTGATCAGGTCCTACAGTAGTATTAAGTGTATCAGCCCTGTACTTAGATGATAACCAGAATAACAACAGCTTCAGTTTAAGATTCTATGAGTAAGCACAACAAGAACAAAAATGAAAGTTACTAAAACGATTGATGATAATTGCCCTCCATAATAATTTCTTCTTTGAAAAGTACATGAAGATTATTTTGTCACACATGAGCTGATATACTGTACAAGTATATAGCTTACACTGTACATTATATACAGTAAATTCTCAAAAGCTCATCTTTATCAGTACCACCTCATGAATCAAATCCATGCTCATGGTTTTGCAATTCATTCTACTTCCTACAAACCAGGCCAACCCAGTTCACCATAAAAATACGCAAGATTAGAAGGCAAAACCCTAGTACATGGTCTTAACCTGCACTGGGTTACTAAATATACTACTTTGTGTTTTAGAAGCAGTTTATTCATTTAAATTATGATTTACTGTTTTTGTTTTAATTGTCTTACCAGAAAGATTAAAAATAAATCACAAAGTTTCCATGAAAATGAATCAGGTTGGCTGAATCGATAGCTTCAGGCTAATTTGGCTACATTAATATTAGTGCTTTTCTTGTCCAAGGCACGATATGCATTCACACGTGTAGCTTGAAATTATCTTCAAAGCCATCCAATTAAGGTGCGTTCTGCACTCAGCACGCAATGCCTTTTGCTTTTTGTGACTCTTCCTTTCAGAACATCTGATGAATGTAAGAAATGGCATGCCCCGATTAAAGAGCAATTCGAGCACAGTGATGTTTTAGCTTGCAGGGCAAGACTCCCTTATTAAGCTGGTAGAACTCCACAAGCTGGATCAGATCAGTGAATCTTGTGTGACCATCATCCAGGCTAAAAAACAGCTCCCCCTCTTCCTCAAGCTGTGCAAGTCACAAAGAGGAACCACAATAAGGACACATTGTCATTTTTTTTCAATGTATAAATAAAGCAACCATCAACAGAAAATTTAAGCTAGAGTACACCTCACATTTCTCCTTAAAGAGTTAAGTAGAGATTTGCTGAACTTATACAAACCCCACATACTGCAGACAAGCACATTTGTGCCATGTATCTGAGACTGGTTCACTGATTTCTTGAGAGTAATATATATATAGTTTCATAATTGTCTTCTACAGTACATTTACTAAATACACATTACCTTTGCTATTTTAGGATGTAAAGTAATAATCCTTACTACAATATATGTCTGCAGTTGTACCTTGCATATTTTCACACGTATAACACTGTATAACCAAGAAAACATCCACTGATGCTGTGAAACACCATAAATTGTGAATTACTTCAAACCTTTTTATAGTGGTCTTGTTTATATATTTAATTGACTTTAAGTACATTTTCCTGAAACATGCACTAAAGGTATAATATGAAGTAGGAGAATATACAGAGAAAGAAGACATGGGAAACATAGATCCTCACGGATATTTGCCTAGCAACAGCTCTTTCAATGGCTTCCAGCCTCCCTAGTGCTGTCCTGCAATCCAATGGAAACTGAAATCATTTGTAAACCAGGTTTACAAGCACTTACTGAAGCCATTTTACTGTAAATACCAAAATAAAACAATACTGAAACACGGGGCTTTACACAACACATACACAAGAAAAACAAGGAACAGATGGAAATTATTTTATGAAAATGTTCAAAACTTAAATGTATACTTACTGGTACAATCTGAAAGTGTTTTATTTTCTGGGCGTGACACAATGACAAGACATATGTCTTGGGATTGCTTTGGCTGTCCCGTAACAGAAAAACCCTGCAGTTAAAACATATTGGTGTAGATTCAGTTTTGCCATTATTTTTAATATCTAAAATCCTACATTAAAAATTAAAAAGAATGACATTCATTAGAATAATATTCCTCCATTGTCGGAACTTGTAATAAACATAAGGATCACGATTTTCAAAATGAAACTGTTTCTTACCATGCCAGTAATTCAATTGATAATGGTGCACATGTACCCATTTAATAAAAATGCCAATGTGTTCTTACCCATCAATAAGACCTTGCTGTGTAATTAAGCGCTGAGCTTCATCTCGTGATATTTTGCAGTGAAACCAAGGCTGACACTTGTGGATAGCTATTAAGAATAAATACATTAATAAATGTAAGAAAGAGCAACCTGTACAAGTTTCAAATATTGAATAATCATTCAATTTTGCACTAAGAGGAAGAGTCTGCATTAAAGGTTGAAAAAAATATACTGATATGGAAAAGAGCCTGATTTCTATTAAATATGTCTGTGATGTTACAGTGAGAAATGTATTGTCTAGTAAAAAGGCACCATGCTATTTCAAAATAGAAGTGCCAAATTTGGATAGACAACAAGTAAATACTGTATGTTAAAAACACATTCAAGATTCTGAATGCAGATCTTATTATTAATTTAAAAATGTCAACAATTTTTCATTAACTATAACAAGTAGGTCCATGTGCAGATAATATAAAAAACATAATGGTCATAGAGTTAAGAGAAAATGAATTCCTTGATATCTTCTTTCAGTTTTTGGTAAATAAAGACTAGTCTAGATTTTGAGGTTCCAAGATAAGGAGTTACAAAGTAGGGACTATCCCCACTCACCTAAGTTTGAAGTTGGGCTCTGAGAAGTAGATGGGCTTCCATGTGAGCTCAAACGATGGCAGCTTTTTCTCTACGTAAAAAATCACAAGACATGCAGTCTAGAACGTACTCTCAAATGAGTCTAATTCTCACTAGACCTCTGTTGGATCTACTACGAAGAAAGGTTTCTTACTGTATGTCAAGTGAATTAGAAATGTGTCTAATTTGAGTGAAAAATGAAAAAACAGCCTTTATGCCATGAAAGGAAAAAACTGAATCTAAGAGACTTGTTTTCTTGATGCGCTTACATGACTCAATACTACACTACCACTCCATGAAACATTTAAGTATCTTTAAAGTACGTAATGTTTAAGATTCTATTTTGTGTACTTTATGCATGCTGAATTCTTGTTGTAGATAATAGATAACACTGTTCTTCATTACAATACAATATTGTATACAATGATGAATACACCTCTCTGTGTATTGTTGTTTTTTATTGTTTTATTTATTGAAAACACATGTTTGTCTGGACTGAAACCCATCATCTTCAAGTCATTTATCCAAGCATACTATACATTCAGGGACAGTATCTTGTTTAAAGAAATAACAATACCCCAAACTCAGCAACTGATTTTTGTAGTTGATGCAGTTTTCAAAAAAGAAGAGTTATTTATAGCTTCCAATTACCTGCTAAATTAGCAAACATGCTGGAGTTACAGCAGGGACAGTATTGTAAGGAGCAAGGAAGTATTAAATAAAGAAGCACATCTACAAATTTATAAATGCACAACTTTTCAGAGTTTTAGAATTGGAAAAAGCACACACAGACATACTGTAGAATCTAAAATCTAGTAAGGTAGTGGTAGTGGTAGTGAAACATTATTAATATGTTTAAAATATTCTCTGGGAAATAGCATATAGTGTAGATCCTTAAACAGAGTGATTTTGGGGGAAGAAAAGAAAAGGAGCACAATCAATAAAAAAACAATGGGAAGATCCTAAAAGCACTAATTTGAAAAAAACTCTGCCAACAGAAAGAGAAGACATACCCGCCAAGACAGACCTTCCTCAACTGCAACAGACAGCGCTTCTGTAGGGTTCTCTATCACCCTGCTCTTGTGCCCTGAGAAATCCATTGCCACAAGGGAGTTTTCAGAAATGCTTCTCTGGAGAGAAATGTGAAAATAACATGTTGAAACATCTCAGAGGCCCAGCTACCTCTATTAACACAAGCTGGACAAACTGCAAAAACGAATACAAGGAAGCCTTTGTATCGCGATACTTTAGTGCCATCTAGTGGCGGACACAATTAAATGAAGCTCAGAAAAATGCAGCCCTCAAAAGCCAACAGCTTCACCCTAATTACACTTTTCTTTTTTCACTTAAATTTTACATATCCTGGAAGAACTGCAAAAACACAGCATTTTGCAAATAAAATGCAGTGGTTTAAAGCTATTTGTCAAAAGCAGAAAAGGCAAGTGTGAAGCTTTGAATTAAGTTGTCACAGTTTCTAACTTCCCCAAGACTCCCCCACATGTGCTTAGAAACTTCTCATTTATTAGAGTTAATGAGCAAGCTCATCAGCTCAGTAATGTGTGTTTTGTCTGCTAACTATTTTCAGTACATTCTTATTACACCAATAATAAAAACTAGGGCTGTTTCATTTTAATGAATCATTTTTTCTACAAATTATTAATAGTATCCTATACCACTCTAACAAAGCACCAGCTTTTATTACAAGGTTAATGGCACACCGATGACAATAAGATTGAGACAAGGATAGTTTTAAAGCTTTCCCCTACTTCCTCAACAAGACTATATCTAAAGCATTAGAACAGCTAACCAAACGACACACTGGAAACACTGTGCATTTTTCTCATACAGAAGTAGAGGTGATGAGTTGCTTAATCTAAGAGCAGCTGATCGAGAATCTATTTTTGGGAGACTACAGCACTCATCTACCCAGTTATAGTTACTGGAATGGAACAGCAGTTCACGTATTTAGAATTCTAATTGTCTGGTTTCATGTTTTCAGGGACAGAACCAAGCACTTGGAGCAAATTATTCACACTAGATTACCAAAACAATAGTAAATGTATTTATTGTCCCACGACTATATTATCAATGCGTACATTATGTTATTTGTTAAAAGGTCATTCTTAATGATTCATGTACTGTTTTCCCTAATATTATAATAATGACTACTAAAATTAGGTGATAGCTTACAATAACGTGGTAGTCTTTAATGTCCTACAAAAATTTTAGATTTTAGATGTTAGATGTTTCTGCAGAGTATGAAGCATTTATAAAAGATGGAAAAGATAAGAGTGCTAAATGTTAAAAGTGTTAGAGGGTTAGTATGGTTTGGTTTTTCTTCTTTTTCAGGGAAAGAGATCATCAGCAAAGCAGTAACATTGTTAACATTTTCTAAATAGTACCACCATTTTCTCAGTGATTCAAGAGCAAAAATTAAAAAATGTGTAAGATGGCCTCCTCTTACTCGTAACCCTATTTCTAAAGCTTACTTTGCAATACAATAACAAATGCTGAGTAAGTAGTTGCATTAAATTTGAGAATAGCCCAAAATCTCGTTTTTCCCTTTAATGTTTTTTTTTTATTCTTGAATGGATAAGAAAAAAACTACAAATAAGGCACATACCATTGGTGATGCTTTCTGCTTTTGATGTGGCTGAATGAAATTTTGGTACAGCTGCATCCCATACTAAAAATACAAAACAACAGTATAATTCATCTACATACATTTCAGCAAAATAGTAAAAAGAAGAAAAAAAGACATCAGAGAAAAATAAAAGGCAAAACATCTTCATTCATCTTCAGTCTTTTGTGTTGAACAAAACTGCATATGAATTTAATTTGTTGTACTAATACAAAACGAAAACAGACTTTTCATTTCAAGAGCTCCTATAATCCAAATCTATAATACTAATCACTCTAAAATTACAAGGAGCCTGAAATTTGAAGAACTTACTTTGAAGAGACGAATGGCCGTCACCCAGCATGTCTTAATCTGCTCCTCATCTGCACACAGCAGTTTCAGGTCTCTGGCTGCTCCAGATTTGGTAGGCTAGAAAGCCACAGCATATTGTTTAGGATTAGTATTTAAGGCTTTCTTGAAGACAAAATCTGTAGGAATAAAAGCCTCTAACATTGTCTTACTCGTAACTAATGGATAGGTTTTATGTCACATTCCTTTTTATACAAATATTTGTTTTTGCTCTTATTACCAAGGTAAAAGATGCAAATATTTGTAGAATGATTATCATGCAGTATTTCTGCAGGAAATAAAACAGAAGTTGTGGTCCTTAAATTAAAATTATTAATACAGTTTGCCTCTATGCATTTCCTACCTGCTTTATCCAATACTGGATCAAGGGGGAGCCATAGCCTAACCCTTGTGAGCAACAGGCACAAGGCAGGATACACCCGGGAGTGATGCTAATCACTGCACCACCATGCCACCCCTAAATGTATTTAACCCCTCATTAATTACCTGAAAATGTAATTTGGGTTTGGGTTTCTCTTCTCTTTTACAAGACAAATCTACTTTTAACTTCAAAACAACAGAGCTGAGTAAAGTACTGTACTGTAAGTACCAGACAGATTGCTTTGTTCTCAGCAATCTGTGATCTACAGTACATTAAACATACATGTACAGTATAACAGATAACTGGAAAATGCCCAGAAAAAGTTTGTGTCTCCCACATTTACTGTATTAAGTGTAGCTTAATATAAAATTATGTCAAACTATGTAGCATACTCATAATGTACAGTGCATGCTCATACTCATATTCCGTATCTATCTTTCTTGATAGGAAATAAACTATTATAAAAATACCTTAATACAGAATCCATAGTCTGTTGGAGCGCCATACATCTTTCTGGCTGACATCAATGAATACACATCATTATCGCTGAATTCAGCAATGAATTGAAGATGCCTTGGCTCCTAGAAAATGAAAATAGCAATTTTGTGTTTGTTGGTTTCAATTGATAATTTCATAGTTTGTTTTCCATAATGTTGTTTTGGAGCCTCTGAGGATGTACCCTCACAGTCATAAGCAAACGAGTGTTTTGCTGTTGCCTTTTTTATTTTTCATTATACTTTCCTATTCTTATTTAATTTTAGTTTAGTTCCTTCAGTTTTTATCTCTGTTACTGCTTTATCCTTGTTTTCAGTTGATTACTTGTACTTTTATTATATTTTTTATATTTCTCAGGGGATTAAATTGGAAAGTTGGTTCAGTTGTTTATCTTGACTTATTGTTCCCCATGTAAAACTTCAGTAAAGAGATTCGATAAAAAGTCTTAATATTGTCCACCTTGTGGTTATTACATCTTCCTTTTCCATGCATGGACCACATCATGACCACATCTTGTCCTGAAAGAAACCTCTAGGTGAACACCTGTTAATAGACACTAAACTATACACTGAGCTTTTGTAGGAATGTTAATATATGGCATAATGCCTTTATTGGTTGCTTTAGTGCTTGGGATCAGTTGAGCCATACACTGGAGGATATGAAAGGACTCATTGATGTTAGTGAAAATCGCAAAAGTAGATTGAGATTTAAAAGTAGCTGAACAGAAAGGGTCTTTATTGCTGAGAAAGAAGGAAGAATTGTGTTGACTAAGCAAAATGACTTCCATCATTTAACATCAATTTAGAACAGGGCTCTACATATTGGTTATAGTTCATTCAGAAACAATAACAAAAGTATTTTTTTCCCAATGTTGTCTCCCACAACCCTACATACTGTATCTGTACAGTATCTATGATTGGTTATACAAATTATTAAAATGCTATACTGACAGACACATGTAATAATATAATATACTACTGTATATTCAGTATTACATTTATTATAAGATTATTATTAATGCCAAATTAAGAAGAAAAACAACTCCATTACAGTGCACTTCAAGGTCAGACCTTTGATTTCATCCCATACATTACTAACCAAAGCAGAGTATACTCTTTTCTCAAATGTATACTTTATGCACAGGTGAACATCTGTACCATGATTGGAACATGACTTAGAAATGTGACCAAATTTAGGTAGTGTGGTAATTGAGTAGGAGGTTACTGAATATTCAACAGCAGAAACTTAAAATGAATCTGATAGAACTTTACAGAGTTATACGGTATATATAGACAAAAGCAATCTAGACCCTCCTTTCACATTAAAAGCATATTTATTATTGATCTTGAAATTAATAAAACATAAAATTAGAGAAGGTGATAGCATATATACTGTATAAATCTGCCTTCTGTACCACATAAATCTGAGCACAATCATTTAACAAATAGAATAAAACGAGTCTGACTAAAAAAGGCAGTCATAGGAAATACCTTACTCTGCTGTACTGTGTTGCACTGATAAAATCTCATGTTGATCATACTAAAATACAGAAATAAAAAATAACTTTCAGGCTAGAGCTGATACCACTGGAAAAACAAAGTTCATGTACTGTAGCATTTTACAGTTCCTAAAGAGCTGAATGCACTAGTCAGAAAAAAAAGAACTATAAAATTGCTTCTACTGTATAGCATACAGGGGCTTCTTCTAATGTTCACAATGTTGGTCTTTACCTTTAGAGTGACTGAAGCTCTGTGACAGAACTGGCATTTGAAGAATAACAAAATAATAAAATATCTTCTAAACCATATCAATGAACCAGAAGAATAAACAAGATTGACAAGTCTTTACAAGATTAAACATTTACAAGTTAATAATGGGTACCAAGTACAGTAGTTACTGTACATACTGTACTTTCCAGCAACACTGTACAGTATACACCTTGTAGGTGCACTGCAAAAGGGGTTTTCAGAGCTTTCCTTATACTGTATTTATTTGTATTGTATTTTATAATAATAATTAGCAAGAAATAGCTAATTACTGAAGTAACTTTTACGATCTTTTTTATTGGTATTATTCATGTGCCTATATCAATGAACAGTATACAGTACCTTGATACTATCAGAACACATAAAAACACAAAGTGACGCAAAGTGAATGCTACCTCTTGGAACCAAAGACTGCCAGATTGGAGACCTTTGTTTTGTTTATTCACCTGTCATTTTTGTTGCTGAAAAAACACATTACACTACACATCCATGTATTTATTAAGCTTTACCATATTAAACACATAATTCTCATCATTTTCTTATTAAGTTTAGCATGTTAACTACACATGGGTGGCAAAGACAGTTGAAACAAAAGAAGGGAAACAAGGCTACAGCATTTAAAACTAATTTTTAGCTTTAATCAAATTAACATTAGCTTTCAAATAAAGGATATTTTTAAAAATATAAACCATGTTTTTCACAACAATTTTGTAAAGTATGTGCACTATTTATGCACATACTGTATGTTTTAAGAAACAATTGAAGCCTACAGATTTTGGATATTGATTAATGCTTTGGAATCATTTAGATTAATTGATAATTTGTGCCTGGTCATGATTCTTGAATGGCTTTGACTGTTACAAAAGCACTAAATAACCTCAGTAATGAGAGAGTTGACAGAGCAGAGGTAATGATGCAACTAAACCTTTTGAATATTAAACATGGTGAAAATTAAGATGGGAAAACACAAAAATGAAATACAGAAATGACCCACCTATCAACATATAACACCTTTGTGCCATTGTTACAGTGGAGAAACACCAGAGATGAACATGCCGGCACCACTACCAAGTCATTTTTAGCAATGAATCCAGGTTTAATGTTGACTACTATGATGGATGTCAGTAAGTGTGATTCAGGAGTGGATAATGATATGCTAACACAGCAATCAATGAGGAGGGCATTTGTAATGGTCTGGACAAGAGCATCTAGTCAATACACAACTCTCCTCTTAGTGATTGATGACAACCTGATTACACTGCATTACATTGATCATGTCCTGGGACCTCAATTGCTACCCTTTCTGCAGGCTTATCCAGACCACATTCCAGCTGGATAGCAACGTTACTGGCATAGCCAGAGGGGTGGCATGGAGTGGCTCTTGCCATCCTTAAATCAATTTTCCACCCCAGCTGCCAACCCATTTAAGGCATTACCTAAAATCCCATATTGTTGTTAATTTACCAACAAAAGAAAATTTCATCATAGGAAACAATTACAGTACAATGTGTTTTAAATGTTTTTAAGAGTACACATGTAGCCTATATTGTAAATGATTGGTGTCAGCAAGTAAAGTATGCGTCAGATCATTGTCGATTATTTCCATGTAGATAAGTGAAAGATAAGGTGAGATTTTGGCTGGGGGATGTGATGGCATCTCAGATCGAGCCAAGGCAGCTCATATCAGCTCAGTTTCTTAAGAGACATGAAGAAGGTGTTTAAAATCAGGAATGAATAGATATTGATAAATATGAACTGATATTAAGGCACTTAATTTCGATCATTGTAGTTGTGATGTTTTAGTCTGATTTAACGGGAAATAACTGGTTTTCTGCACAAATCCACTCTGCTTGCATGCCAGTTCCATGGTCTAAAACAGAGGTTACCATTGTAATTGGCGCAGAGAATAGTAATACACCTTTTGTAGTACAGTACATCCTATTTATAGTCCAAATAATATCTTTTAAAAATGACATCCCCATAAAGTAGATGTCCCAGCCACCCCTCTGCCATGCCAAATATAAAATCCTGGCTATACCATCGGCACACATCCTTATGCTAATCATGTAAAAATGACTTTATTGCAAGCTGACAATCTGACAGGTATGCTGTGGATTTCCATCATGCCAGAACTGAGCCTAATTGCACAGTTGTGGGATGAGTTGCAATGATGTGTGGCATCTCTGGCTCAGACATCAGTGAACAAGTACATGCTTGTCCAAGGTCTACCTTATATGGACAGAATCCCACCAGTGAGCATTTGTGAACTGGCGTAAAGCAGGTGTCACAGAAACACAACTTCCATTGTTTTCAATAGTGGCCACACAACCTACTGTACAAGTCTTTATCTTAAACAGTGGATTCTCTATCGTGTCAACTGTGTTTACATATCATGTCTGTTCAATGAGTCGTCAGTACACCTTCAAAAAGACTGTCATTATCCAAATAACTTTGTGAATTTGCAGCAAGTCATGGGTGATAATTTTCTTTTGATGCTCAGTATGGAGTATATCTCTTTGTTGCTGACCTCATTATAAAAGGGGAAGCACCACAACCCCCAGAATATCAAAAACACAAAACCTGATTTATGAAAACAACATTAAAGCACTGGTGATCTTAGTTGAACTATGAGACATATTTTTCCTTAAAGATGTATTCAGTAGTCATTAATCCTTGTAAAACGCCTTACAAAAATACGCATATTTATTCACATGTACTATTATTATTCACATATTCATATTTTGTTGCTTTAATTCGTGCCACCATGACACTTTGAAGTAGCAATTAATATGTTATACACACCACCTACACCACACGTTCAAAGCATCAAACAAAAAGGAATAAATAATTACTATGAAAGAAAGCTGAAAAAGTCATTATTGCACAAGTGTTCAAACCTTTTGCTTTGGTAAACCTAACTGGCACACATAATTACCTTAACAAATCTTTCAATTAGCTGAGGGGCCTGTATACAATAATGGTAATATGACATCAGAATAAACACACCTACAGTACCTCTGTAAGATCCCTCAATCAGGTAGTGAATTATTGTAGTCATGAACATTTTGAAGACTCTAGATATGTCTGTGAGCATGGTGCAGTTGATTAAATTATGAAGTGGAAGGTCAAAGGCATTCTTAATATACCTACATTCGACTAATCTGCCAGGCAAGGGGAGAACTGGTTATGGACACCACCATGAGGCCAGCAGCAACTTTAAAATGAGTTACAGATTTCAGTGGCTGAGATGGGAGAAAATGTCCATGAGTCAGCGACATTCAGTCACTCCACAAAGCGAGCTTGAATAGAATTTGAAAAGAAAAATCAAATTCCGCCTTGGGCTTTCAACAAAGCATTTAAGTCATACTGCAAACATGTGGAGGAAGGCTTTGTGGTCAGACAAGACAAAATTGAATCTTTTTGGGTTTGGTTACATGTGATGCAGACTCAACATAGTGTAATACTCAGTCAAAACCATCCTTACTGTCAAGGATGGTGGTGGCTGAATTATGTTTTACAGTAGTTCTGTTTCTCTTCAACATGGATTGAGATACTTGTGAAGTCTGGTGGGAACACTGAAAGAGCAAAGTACTGGTACTGGTGGTAAGTACTGGTAAATCTTAGAAGCTAACCTGCTACAGACCTAGAAAAATTAATCTTCCAGCAGGGCAAAGATACAAAGCGCAAAGATAAGGTTACATTGGAGTGGCTTAAGATTTTTTTTTTTTAAATGCCCTGTAGTGGCCCAGATGTGACTCCTACTGACCATTTACGGAAAGACCTGAAAACTGCTGTGCAAAAGTAACGCAACCAACTTGAGAGAGTTTGAGCAAAGCTGCCAGGAACAATGAGCAAGAACTGTACCAAGCCAGTATGTTAGCTGGTAGAAAGTGACCCAAAAGGCCTTGCAGCTGTAATTACTGCCAAAAGTATTTCCAACAAAAAAGTTTAAGGGTCTTAATACTTATGCAATCCACATTTTTGTGTTTCTTTCACTTTAGGTTTTGCAAACATTTAATGTAACCTATCCAAGACGTGCCCAGTTTGAGCACTCCGGTTTTAAATAAAATATTATGTGTAAAAATGTGTATGTTTTGTAAATTCATATAATGGAACACCATAGTAATGGTCTGAATACTTTTGCAAGGCACTGTGCACTCCCCACCTAATACAGTGAAGTCAATTTATGACAAAGAGTTTCAGTGTTTCTGATGCATATACAGTACATTTATGTTGATCCTGTCACAAGAGTATGCTGGTCTCAAAGATTAAGGTATGCATCACACAAGCTCCGTAGGTCATACATATGGCCCGTACAGTGAAACTACAAATGGCTCATTAACTCACTTATAGGTCCTATACTGTTTATAGAATCACCAGATATAAAATAATATTTACAGACCTTTGATGTTCCCTTGTTTGAAAAGTACAGTCCAGACCTTCTCAAAACAAAGTAAAACTTTTTCCACGACTTTTTTCCCTGCTCCTTAGCGTGCAGATAGCCATGAATCTCAGGACAAGTACTTGAGCTGAGAAATGTCTGTGGAAGACAATAACATACCGAAATATGACACAATTTACCAAATAAACATATCTTAAAAACGGGAGCAGTTATTGTGATTCACTTTATAAAACATGGCATTTACAGTATCAATCAAACATTATACTGATATGATGGACAGATTATATAAGAAGAATCAACAATGTTACATTATTACTAATTATTCAATGAAAAATAAAATCAATTCAATACAAAGCATTACAAATTCGAATGAAAACACACATTATTGTGTAAACTAATCTAATTTACTGTATATATGAATGTAAGTAACATAAAAACTATTTGGTAACAGCACAGCACAGAAAAGCACTGAGCCAACTTGTCTCCCAGCAACCAGGAATTTACCAATTACTTCTCTTGAAAAAGACAGTAGCTTGCAGTATGCTCTTAAAATTTTGACAACTAGCTTACATTCTGCAGCCATCTGCAGTCAGAATCTTGTAGTAGACAGCTAAATCTTAAGAAAACATCCTCCCCTTGTGTGAGGAGTATGCTAGCTTTATTAATGGAATGAATGAAGAATACACTTAATTATGCTAGGGAAGTTTTCAAATGGTTAACTAAATCATCACTCCTCTCTGTGTTGTTAAATCTTCAATTTCTCAGAAGGTAAATGCTGTCAAAATGTACTTTTATTACCTGTAAAAGCTGTGAATGGTTCATAATCCCATTTGTTTCACCTGAAATAGACACCATATGTTCTGGAAAAAAATCCTGAAATTAACCAGAAAAGTACATTAATAATATTATTTTATGAATAATATGCCAAATGTTGTGTTGAGCTTCCTTAGCTACATACTGCTTTTTATTTGCTTAACTGCAACTGACAAATACTGTATAAAAAAAAAACATGATCCCAAATCACAGTACTGTACTTGGCAACAGGAAAGAAAAACCTCCGATTGAGAAAAACTATAGCTGTTGTTTTTTTTTTTAAGAACTGCCCGAGACATTCTGGAACATACAACATTCCATGTTGTGATTTTAATTTATGACAACTTTTTAATATGGGATTTTGCAGTCACTGTATCTCAGATATGCATTTTTGCATCCAGGGTTTTGCACTTATTGGGTTATAAAGCTTACCTATTTACAGTATTTCTACACACCTGAATGAAGATAAATGTTGGTTAATGAAGACTGAGAATCAGCTCGCTGTTCCTTTCATTATTTTGTATGTAGTAACACAGCAAAGCAACAGATGTTTTGTTTCATTCATTGCACACTTTTCTCACTGAGTAAATATCAGTCCAGTTTCCACACTGTATTTAAAATTAACTCAAATACTTTCTGTGTGTACAGGATCACAGTATAAATGAAAAACCTGCATACAGTATCTTTGAGTCAAGTGCAGTTTTGACCTGAGAAGGTATTGTAACTGTTCATACTACTGTACAGTATATATGTTGTTTAATAAGCAGAAGACTAAAACAGGGAGGAACTCAAGTAAAAAAAATGTGTTTTTATTATTATAAAAAATACACTTGTTGATAATTGCTCATATAATGTACATTACATCCTACTTAAATGTATCCTAAGCTGGATTCTAAAACTGGAGTGTATTTCCCAAGTTATGCACCAATAACAAATTGACAAATCTCAGTTAGGGTTTACATTTTACTCAGTTTATCTTTAAAGCAGACATGCAACACTTACCAATGGTTTTTTGAAGAATTCGTATTTGGCATAATTTTTCCTGAAGTACAGACGGCTGTCTCCTTCCATTCCCCAGCTTGATTGCACTTCAATAACTGATTCATGGTCTTCTATGGTTCTTTCTGTACAACAAAGTAAAAATAACAAACAGGATAACCTGATAACAAAAGAATTTACTTAGCTGACGATATTTAATCTAATATTTTTTTTTGAATCTACAATCCAATGTTTAAGTCAAATTCAGTTGCATGGCTGTGTATGCATACCTATCTATACTGTATATCTGCACAAACATACAGTATAAATGTTTGTAGAGGCATGCAAGTGCAATGCAAAAATAAATTTAGATTTAAAGTTATGTGTAATTTTAAGATTTGTACTTACACTAAACATTTGAAATAATATTGCAAAGGCCACTAACACATTACTGCCGTGTTTGTGTAATCTTTAAAATCTGAGCTTTGCAGTTTCATTTAGAGACTGTTTATGCATTTTGAATTCACTTTAAAATCTTTTTAGAAACATAACCAACAATTTTCCTGTATGGGGCTATAATGATCTACATACTGTACTGTAAGCAACAGTTTCTTAAAACGTCAGCGGAATTACTATCTCAGCACATTCAGTCAAAGTTCTCTTCAAAGATTTTTCACTTCTTTCACATTAAGGGATTTTTACCCTGCTGATGGCATTATGGTCAAGTAATTTTTATTAATGTGGGTTTAAGTGACCAGGTCTAGTTTCAGATGAAAGTGGGGCATCTAGAGCAAACACTCCTAAGCTGAAACATACTGTCGTCCACATTATGGAATACAGCACACAGAAAATACTGGGTTTTAAAAGCAGAGTACTGTAGGGCAAGACACTACACAAGATTACCTATACAGTAGATAAAACATACAGAAAAAACAAATGCTATGAGGAAAAAAAGTAAAATGAGACAGGAAAAGCTCATAGATGCATTATATAAAGTCTACAAATGTACATTTCCCAAGTGGTAATAATTGCAATGAGAACTAAAACATTTTGCATTCAGGACATTGAAGAGTGTGCAAATTTTGGCTTAATCCAGCTGTAAATGAACTGAGTCAAAAGTCTGTAAGCCGCAGAGACAGAAAATATTAAGACTGTAAGACCAATATTTCATGATAAAAAGCAGGTGATCTTGACAAACTTGCAGACTGAGCAATGATATTTGAATGTTACAAATAAATGGCCCATTTTTATTGCACAAGCCATTTAGTATATGATTTTATGCCTGGTTGTGTTTCAAGCATAACAGCACTGGTGCCCTACAGCACATTATGCTGCACTGATTAATTATTAACATTGTTTTTAATTATTCTTAGTAAATGAATAACCTTAAAAACAATAAATTTGATTTTATAATTGGAATGACGGCTAGTTATGCTGGTTTTCCTTCACATCATTATTAAAGTTTATTCAGTTCTAAGAACTAAAAATTAATATTTTATGATTTTATGGAAACCTATCATGTGGAACTCTGCACAGTTTCTTGAAGTTAAAGTAATTAATTCCCAATATATGTTCATAGTTAAGGGTAGTTGGTCATCTTAACAAATTCCTCTTGGTTAATTTAAGCATTTTGAAAAAAAGAGCAAATGGTCACTTCTGATAACAGGGACTTAGAGCAGGGCAGTGCATAACAGATGTCCTCCATAGATTGCAGTATATCCAAGAACATGACCAGTCACAGTTCTCTGATTTTTCTTTTACAGTTTAAATGATGAAGAGACCTTCCATGAATTGCTCCATATTCCCATTCCAACCAGTGTCTTTGCTGTCCACAAGCATATGTTGTATACACTGTACACACACAGCCTAGGTACATACAAAATACTGTAAGTCATCAAAAATAATGAAACAACAAGAGATTAACTCAAATATTTTTAATGATCAAAAAGTAATTTCCATAATTTATAACTACTGCAAGCTCTTAAACATTCCATATACCTAAGAGATGTTGTTTGTGGGATGTACAGATTATGCATGTACAGTACACAGACATACCACCCCTATATCGCGGATATTGGAGTGCAGTCCTTATATACTGTATATCGGGGATAGTGACATGATACAGTTGTAGTAGCAGGCAGTCACGGCTGTCTAGATCCAAATCTAAATCTGCTACAGTACATACAGTAGTTACCAAGGATGAAATATACAGTACCTAAGGAGACTAAGAATTATATTACTAATAACTAGGCAGAGTATTTCATGAGTTGAATAGTAAGACTTTTTCCGATCAAGCTGTTTATCAAATGTTTATCTTTTAATAAAGTGTAATCATGACATTTTCAATTTGACAAAATTAAATTACTAAACCGCGTATTTTAAGTTACAGTCGCAAACATTTAAACGTTACCTTTTTATTATCCGCGGAATACTAATTATTAGCCCTAATCTAGCCCTTAATGTTATTAAGGAATAAGAAATGTAAAAAGCATGGGATTTAAAGATAAATGGAAAACAAATATTAATAGTGATGCTGATTATGATTGCTTGTTTTGGTTTTTAGTGATTGTTAGCAAGATGTGTCGTTGTGATTTTCAGTTTAAATACGTGTGTCGGTTATTGCCTTCAGTTGCAGAGCAACTTCAACTTCATTCATTGTGAATGTACAGCTAAAGGCACAATTATCCACTGGGTACAACACTACAATGCATGTGCTTTACCAGTTACAGGACTGTACATCAGGGCCGACAGCGTCACATTCACAGTTCTTAAAAATCACAAAAAGTATTAAGGTTTTTCGCGTGGCAGTCACTGATAAGTGGGGGGTAAATGCGCACAGTTTATTTTCTAGCAATAATACTTTTCCAGTTAGCGCTATCTTCACAGCACATGCATAGAAGTGCAAAACGTAGTTACTGTACTGAACATTTTTAAACAATACGTATAAATATGATTACTGCGCTAAGATGGAAATCGTGTACAAGACGTACAATAACAAAAATATGTAAAACGTAGAGTTTTAAAACCAAAACGAAACCATACTACTTTCTCCAAACTTATTGAAAACTTTGGATATCGAAATATTTTACCATCACCAATTTATTGGTTGCTGTCGTACTCATCAAAGGATAAGCATTTGTTCGTCACGGATACACTTTTTCGGAGTGACACTGTCCTTTTTGTTGTGGACACCGACTCTTTAAAATAGCTTGGTGTGCCAGGAGTTGTTTTCCAATGTACAAAAAAAAAAACAGTTTAAAGTTTTTTTGTCACAGGCAGCGCAAAAATGTCACGGGACAGTAGTTTTTTTATTGGATTTCGTAAATAGAAAAATGTATTTACTGTCAGCTTTAAAGAACACATACTGTACTGTACTCTGATTTGTTTTCGTCCCCGGTTTACTTGCCAACTTATAAAATCGCGAAGCATCTTCCTTTTTCGCCTGTAGATAATAGCATCCAGGTTTCTTTTTCTAGTGATACTTTATTTTTTGCATGTTGATAAAGCAATATGTAATCACCCAATAATTCCAGTTAAACACCATATACTGTACGCTGCTTCAATCTTTCGTTGTTCATAATAAGGTAAGGGGACACATAGAGAATTAGCTAACAAACTATGCAGTCACTTCCCTTGCCTACTGTAGATACAGTATACCTGAATCTGCGATACAAAGGCTGGATGTACATACTGTACATAGCATGCATTTAACATACAGTATACAGTATATGTATTGTATACTGTATGTAAAAGCACCAGAGACAGTCCATTAATAATTTCCTATTATGTTAAATAAGGGTACCTTTAAAAACAATCTCTCAATAAACATTAAGAAACACTGTTGGTACCTTTAGGCTTTCCAATCATGGGTCTTTTTTTTACATTTAGCTGCATTCTCTAATACTGTACATAATTAAACCATTAACAGAGCTCATAATTTAATTATAGCTTAATTATGGTTATATTAAATTCTTGTTTAATTAAATCATACATTGTAGAAAAACGTTTAGTGATTTACACATTGTCATCATTGTTTGACAATGATTTAAGAGAACACAAAAAGTCTAATTAAGTAATTAGTTCAATTACAAGTTTCAGCAATTGTGAACTAATCTGAATAATATCCAGGGGCCTTGAAAATGATAGCTGAGGAGTCCTGTTACAAAAAATAATAACTTAAAATTAGAAAATTGGAAGCACATCTACTTAAATAAAGCATAAAATAACTAAAACCATAAGTAATATTTATTGTTCCAAGCTTGGCTATGTACTGAAGGCACAGTGAGAAGCCCAACAATTTTAATTTGCCAAAAATGATCATATTGTCAAAAGAAACGAAGGACAACACAGACAACAAAGAATTCATATTTTTTTCAGTAAAAACCACTGAATATAGGAAACGCCAAGCAAGCTGATTTTCAATATTGGCTGAAAAAGTGATTTAATTTACTTGACTTTCAAAGGCACTTATAGAGAAGAGTTCATCTTTCAGCCCAACAGTTTAAATACTAGGCCTCGTAAAACTTAAGTGATGGTCTAAAAACCATCTGCTTTGCTACTTTGCATTGTACTGTAAATATCATCCAATTCGAGTAATGATAATCTAATAATTACAATCATACAACATAGTGCTTTACCTCACATGGTACTATATGGCAAAAGTGTTTTACAACTAGGACAGGATTCACTTTCATTCACTACTGAAGTACTCTATATGCCAGCTGAACTGCTACAAAGAAGATCAGGTGGAGAAGTGAGATGGTATTTTCCCAATTGAAATAAGAGAAAATATTAGCCAGGACACACTGTATAAACCAAGAGTAGAATTAAGCATGGAAACAGGGGTTAACACCCCTGTACTTACAAAGGGTGCACTTGAATATACAGTATAATGACCAGGTAGTTAAGACCTCAGTGTAAGGCACTACAACACAGTTCACCCAGTCACCATACTGGAGCACTGGTTTTGAACTACACTGGTCTACCAACACCACTTATGCATCATGGTTTTGGTTTTCTTCAGAGGCCTCCTGTCTCAGTATTGACCGGGTCTTGCTAAGCTTCTGAGATCTGACAACATCAGGCTACAATGCAGTAAAGCGGCACTCCAGAAAATGAGTTCCTTCATTATAAGCCTCATCATCCAATGCAGTGTAGCACTTCCACACTCCACTGGTGACTGCCCACATGTATGCAAAAACATTTATTTTAGATGCTTAAGATCTAACAATTTTTTGTATGTGCACTATGCACATAAATTAGAATTTCATAAGTACCATTACAAAACCTATTCATAAGGCATGTTTTCCATCCTTAGGAATATATTGTTGTTTTAAGTAAAAAAAATAATCGAATTCCTTTTCCCATACAAGGTTATGGGAGAAAGAGTGCTGCAAACAGAAAAGTCTTAACAATTTAATACTTTTGATAGTTATGAAATTTCTTCTTTCATAATTTCTTCAGTGTATGTTACAGTTAAAGCCCTGTTCCACGTCTTCTATACTAATTCCAAGAAAACAGGTAGTGATGGCACTACTATTGACTGTTGACTGAACAGAAATGTCAATACAATATACAAGTATGTTCATATATGATACAGTATATGATCAACAGACCAAAATGTTTCTCTCGTTGATCATGTGGAAAACGCCACCACAAACATTTGCATTTTTAAAAAAGTTAAACCATACAGTAATGCAACGTCAGCAAAATAAAATATTTTTCTGCTTTTACTTAGAAAGTGTCACTTACAGTATAATAACAATTGTAACACCATTGCACCAATACGCAAAATATACATCAATTATACACAGTTCAGTGATACATGATAACAGTCGAAATGCATATCTGGATTATAGGCAATTTGGCTGCAGTCTGTATTAGCTAATATTGTAATGATTGATAGCTGTAAACTTTGTTCAGTTTTATTTCTTAAAATTCCCTTGGAAATACAATTTTATTTTATGTGCGATTCATTTCATTTTTGCAATATGCATATTGACCTATTTTCACAATGATCTTGCGGACACGCAAAACCCCTTTCATTGTAAGAAAAGGATATGAGTAAACATCCTTATGTTCTTCTGAACAAGATTTAAGCCTGTTGCATCTTTTGGTATCAGAGTTAATTTATATAATGCTTGAATAATGTTAAAGGGAGATGTTATATCAGAAAAACATCTTTGGGATCCAGGAACATGAGTGAATATCCTTGTGTTTTTCTACACAAGATTTAAGCCTGTTGCTTCTTTTGGTGTTAGAGTAAATTCTTATACTGCTTGAATAATGTTAATGTTAAGGGAGATTTTATATTAGAAAAACTAACTGCTGGTAAATGTATATGATTGACAGAATCTGTGCTGACCGCAGATTTAAGTACAAAGGTAATCCATCATTTCAATTTGAGTCATTAACATTTTTAATACAACTTTAAAACAATTCAGGCTTTGCAAACCACAGTTTTGCACACAAGAAGGTAACCTTTTAGAAGGACTGCTTTATTATAACACAAAGGAATAATATGGATTTGACTAGTTTTAATTACAAGTTACACTTGGGTAAAAACAGTAAAATTATAAGGGAAGTGTATTTACCAGTATATCAGATGTCTTTTTGTGAAAATGAAGACTTTTTTTAATTGGGCCTAAGATGGCAAGTTACTGTAGACATGACTGCTGCTGTGATGTCTAACTTGTGGACATTCGAATGTTATAAAACCTTATGATGACAATCATTTTTGCATACAAAGAAGCATGTTAATAATTAGACAAAGAGACCCAGAATGCAATTAATTAACAAAGTCTTACCTATGCCTAAGTGGGAGATGTGCTCAAAGAGTGTCCAACTATGGTCATCGATGCAATGGTTCTTTAGAATGAACAACTGGCATATGTCCCGAGCAGTAAAATCACTGGGTACTTCTAATGCTCGACTCGTGTTATCCTCATTATACACTTTGATTACCTGAAATGAAAACATTAATTTATATTTATATATGTGCGTGTCCATATAATTTGCTTCACCCACATGTTGGGAATTAAAGTTTCTTACCATCTTATATAAAATTCTAAACAAATATTTAAAACAATATTAAAAGTTAATACTCAGAAGGTTTTATCTTTAGTTACCTTTGCACACAGTACATTAATACCTCATACAAGAGAACAGGAGCAACCACTCATATCACGAACACACAAACATACACTTCCTTACAAAGGGAATGTGCTTACTTTCTATCCTCTTCTTACCTGATGTGATTTTCAGGCCTATATCAACTTAGTTTTAGTATTATCAGTTCATCACAAGCCTGCCAATGCAATAAAAACTTCACATTTAGAGTTTAAATTAAAACGGTGTATCACGATCGCATAGTAAAACCTGAATTTTCACTAGCTGTGCTGCACCAACCTAAAATAAAATAAAAATGCCGCACCAACATAAAATATTTCATTCTCCTGAGTGGTTAATCAAACATCCTTCAAAAGGTCTGTATCTACAGTAACATCATGATTTAAAATGCAGGGATAAATAAACATTCAAAGATTCACAACTGAATGATTCATACAGTATACAGTACTAGAGGCTATATTTGTAAAAACTATATATTTTACTTACCAGTGTATTTGGAGACAAGAAGACGTGTGAATTTTGGCTAGCTCTGCAGCTGATGTAAGTCTGAGTGCACAGCATTATAAAAAAGGCTTTGTGCATTAAACATAGAAACATACATCAGACACCACTATGTCAGCTGTGAAGCAACCTACTCTTTACTGCAGCAAGCTGAAATGAGGTGATTATAAAAAGCTGCCTCTTAGCAGAACGGTTTCCTGACTCCACAGATACATGTCACAGAGTCTCTGCCCAATCACCTGCTACCTTTTCAAGTAAAAAAAGCACAGGATGAGCCTGCTCAACACCAGAAAAAAGTCACAAGGCTCGCTCCACCTCCTTATTCGCATACCCTTGACAAGTATAGTTCTTCGCATAAAGCACTGCATGAGTCCTCAAGAAATTACAAAGGTAATAGTTAAATCTAATGCTAGTTGGGTCAACTCTGTCCAAAGTTGATGGGAAAGGGGGAGGGAAAGAGTCTCAGTATAGATCAACTTGCTGCCACGGTCTTTGTGCTTCACTCTTGGTTTAAGGCGGATCGGCAGGGCAGGACAAGCCAGCCTGCTTTTGTACAAGAAAAGAGGTCACTGTGTTCCAGCTGGGGCAGGGTTAGTACCCTTCAAGAGCTACCAGCGAATGAAAACCTTCAGCTATGACATCATCCCTAAATGAGGTAAACGATCTGCTATTTAATCAGTCAGTGTGGAGATTTACAAGACAAAAAAACTTAAGGATCTCCATTTGCAGGCACCTAACAAAAGCCAAGGGCTGATTTACTGAAACCTCTTTCACAGGCAGTTTTGCTTGCATGATCTATCAGTTCTTACTAGAAAAAAATGGAAGAGAGTAATAATGTCTTAATTGCTGTTACAAAGGACTCCAACAGTGAAAGATATAACACGACTGCAAGATGTCAGGACTAAAACAATCCCTGATATAAAATTCTGCGATACCGGCAACATATTTTCAGTTAGATGTTAGTTTATTTAAAAAAAAACTCCCACAAAAGATAGATGTGGGAATTGCATCTAGGCGTAATTCCAAATTTGTCCCTGTGTGCATTTCATTTCCTGAGACATTGCCAAATCAAATCTCAGAGCTATCATATTTCATGAAGAACAGTGCCGTGTTTGTAACAAGGTGTAGAACTTATAATGCACCACTAGGCTGTCTTAGGTTGATTTTTCATTAATTCAAAATGGTTAACAATTATTGATTTTTTATTTGTTGAAAGAGAAAATGTGTATGTATAACTAACATTCAAAGGAGCTTCTTCTGTGCCTAAAAGGCTAGTAAAAGTAGCAGATTGTCATAACTCAATGATATTTCAGAAAACCATAACTGTTAATTTAACAAGAACATGCATACTACTCATATATTTGAAATGATATATTTTATTAGAGCTTGCTATTGCATTTGATAAAATATACAGCTCACAAACCATTTGTAGTTATTTTTGTCATTATTTTTTTCCTCTACAACAATTAATTGGACGTCAGTTGATCATTTTTTTAATGTGGGATACAAATATGTGGTGCTGGATGTTTCCACAACTCTAAAAAATAGAAAATAATCATTGGTAATGGTGCAATGGTTAACTGGCTAATATTAAGCCTGAAAAGATATTCAGCAAACCTCGCAGAAGGCTAGAAAATGTGCTGCACAGTAATGTTAAAATTCTCTCCTCATTTAAACCTTTTCCTCAATAAAACATAATTTTACCACATTATACAAGGTTTGTCAGAACAGTCAGAAAACATTAGGATGAATGACTGTTACTAAGGGCTGTTGCTAAGCTATTGCTTCCTTGCAGGCTGCCTTCATCTGAAAATGAAAAAGAAACTTTTCTTGAACTTAAGGAGGTTGACAGGTACAGAAGTTTATACTACTGGGAATTTAAACCCAATGGTTTTTTGCAAATTTGTGCCGTGATACCCACCAAAAATAATGGAAACATTCTGCATTTGTACTCTGTGAGTTCTGACAAACATTTGATTAAGGGATACAAAATAAATTGATACAGTATATTCTGCACTGAGCTGTATACAATCTTTGTTCCTTGTTTAAATTCCATGTTTTGTGCACTGCATTTTTGCTTGTAACGTCAACTATATAATTTTACTTAATTGTGGTTTAAAGAAATTACAAAAGCCTTCAAACTGAAAAATTACAAATAAGCTCTGTGTTTGCTGATTAAGAAAAGTTATACAAGGAACTTGTACAGCTGCAAAAATCTGCAGAAATATAAATCTAGGACCTACAGGACAGTAAGTTTCATTCTGATATGTGTGTACTTATTATTTAATTGTTCATTCCTGAAGAAATCTATTAATGGAAGGAAAGCAGTTAAAAGAAATAATAAATAAATAAAATACCACATGTATAAGGCATATATTTAATCCAATTTGGGGAAACCTACAAATATTACTGAAACTACAAACAGACCAACTTAATATGAGAAAGTTTAACATCCAAAGTAATTATGACAGTAGTTACTCATCACAGTAATTTTACTAATGAGCACCTTGAAGCTAGTAAATTTAGTACATTCTTTTCTCATTAGAAAGCTACTAGAATTCAAATATCCTTTGGTACTTCAATTGAGACAAGAAAGCTTTCAGTAGTTTGTGCACTTTAAACAGACATGTAAGCGGTGGGATTGGCTGAAACACATCCTGCAAAATATTCCAGAAATCATGGTTAATTTTCAACTAGCCACCTTAAATTACTTGACCTTCCAGTTCTTCATCAAATCTCACCCTACTGTATGAAATGAAACATTACTAGTATAGTGAATAGTTACAGCTCAAAACCTTTGGTAAACCATTGATAAACCACAAGTCAAGAAGAGTGTCATGGACAAAGGCATATGTAGGGTCTATATTAAACAAGGAGATGGTAACACAGTGGTTGCAGTTATTTTGCTTGTATACAAATAAAGGAACTAGGAGAAAGAAAGGTTTTGAAATCAGTGCATTGGCCTTCTCAGTAGCCAACTTCAACCCATCTGAAATATTGTAGGATCACCTTGCCAGAGGTGTGAAAAGTAAGACAACAACCAACTTAAATATGCTGTGGGAAAGGATTAGGAGTCAATGGTAAAAATAGGCATCTGCATGCTAGTAAATTGTTGTGAAAGGATGCCAAAAGTATGTTGCTGTGCAACTGCTAGCAATGAAGAATATTTTGACAGAAAAGTATGCAATAAAATGCCAGCAAATCATATCCTCTTGTCTTTTCATTTGAGAAGGCTATTTTTTTTAATATCCAAGTTTTCCTGGTGTTTATGTGATGTGTACATTCTGGCAGGCTACACACACTGTAAACTCCTCAAAGTATTTAGAAAAACAGATGAAACCGTTAGTATAAGATCATATAAAATTTACATCTTATCAACGGTATCCCTTATTCAGAGGTCCCTTATCTCAACTGTGATTTAAAAAATACAGACCACGGACAATGAAACCTCCCTCCCCCAAAAACAGATCCTTAAATGCTTCAGCCAGAATTGTGTGTGACCATGCTATTCACAAGTAAATGTGCCCAAACATTGGTCATTGTATTTTTTGCTTCTGTGAGAGACTTACTAGATCACATGGTATGGTGGTAAGTTCTGGGAAGTTTCTCCCCATCTGACTATGGTTAGAAGTTTAACTCGAAAAACTAACAAGAAAAGCCAAGTACTCTTGCAGCTTGGAATCAATCCAAGAGAGTTTGTCCAACGAGATCTCACACTATCGTTTATAAAGAGGAAATTTAGATGATGGTATCTGTCCAAGGACGGCACTGTGGTGCTTTGGTTAGCCTTGCTGCCTCAGAGCTGGGGACCTGGTTTTTAATTCTGGACCTAGGTTGCTGTCTGCGTGGAGTTTATATGGTCTTCCCATATTTGCGAGGGTTTCCTCCAGGTGGTCCGGTTTCCTCCCACAATCCAAAGACAAACAGAACTGGTAGGTTAATTAGTTCGTCTGCCCTGCAGTGGACTGGCGTCCCTTCCAGGGTGTACTCTGCCTTATGCCCACTGCAGTCCAGAATAGGCTCCAGCTTCCCAGTGACAATGGATGAATGGACGGGTGTCAGGGATTATTACAATGTGTACTGGTAATACTGGTCCCACACTATGACTTGTATGTCAATATGATGCATTAAGGTCACAGAAAACCTTTCATGCAATTACACAGTCATCACTGTGCCTCTCCTTTTCCAGGACATTGGTGCTAGTACTGTATATAGTTTCCCATGCCGCCTCCATATGAATGTTCAATTTTATCAGTAAAACAAGTCAATGCCCAAAAATGTGAATTGCAGTCGAACCCACTGTTTTGTTAGGATTTACAGATGTGGCCTATACC